TCTACATGTTTTTCTTTCATATTTTTCTCAAATTTGATTTTAAGCGATTTAGAACTTGAAACGAGAAAACGAGAAAAAATAAAATTTGTAAAACCGATTTTTTGTAGAAAATAATCTTTTCCTTCAGGAAGTTACAAATAATTCGTATATGTTCAAAAAATCGAGGACCAAAAATTTGTGCTAATAAATTAGCAAAAAACATTTTCAAATCATACAAATTGAAGTTTTATTATTCTTACCCATAAATTTAGGTAATATATTCCTTGTCAAAATGACATCCAAATTTCAAGTCAATGTCAAAATTATTTGAATATTTTTTAATCTTGATCAAACATATCTACATAAAATTATTCGAGTGTTTAAAATGTGCAAAATAATCAGAATGTTATTGATTGATCGGCTATCAACAATTCAGGTATTTTAATATTGGAATACCATACTAGCCACGCAAAGCAAAAAAAAAAATTGAACAAAAACTAAATACCATTACATATCTTATAATAACAATTATGAAATATTGAAGACGGTTTGTGGAATGTTTCAGTTGTATAATAATTGTTAAATAATATATGATAATTATGATTTACATTCGACGTTATACTGATTAGATTTCTTTGGAGTGATCACAAAATTTATCGAAAGTTCTGCTATGGATTTAAAACTTTTCCATGCCTCTTTAATTTTTATACTTTACTAAAGGTTGTGTATAATTGCATACGAAATAGAGTATTCAAACATTTTCTTTTATATATATTTTTTTATTTAATTTTTTTTATTATTTTTTATTGATTTATTATATTCATATGTGTCAGGCAGGGGTGCCTGGTATAAGAGTTTATAAAACAATTTTCATATTTTAATTTTTTTTATCAAAAGGCAAAAAAAGATACTCATATTCAACTTTTTACTTAACTGGCGAAATGATCAAAATATTAAAAGTCACAAATAAATAAAAAAAAAGTTTTTACTTAATCACATAGTTAAAGTATTACTTAAAATAGACGGAAGTGGCTTTCTTAACTTACTTTTATCGTAATCATAAAAGATATGGATTTTTTATGATTTTATTTACACTACCGTGTTTTCGTTTATTATAATTAAATTAATGTTAAGTGTAATCATTTGATAATGATACCTGAAAAAGCTTAATTCATTTTATATTTTGTAATAAATATAACTACATAATGTATCCTTGAAAAATGCTTTAATATTATATTAAATTAAAATAAAAAATAATAAAATTAAAATTAATTTATTTTAGTCTCATTTTTTATATTGGGGGAAAAAATGTATTTTTCTGAGAATATTTGGATTTCTTTTTAAGAAATTCAGGTAAAAAATATACTAGTGATATCTTACTATACCCCTCCCTATACTATACCCCTGCTCCACGTGATATTTCGTGCTTTGTTTTTTTTTTGTTAAAACCCCTTTCCCCTAAAGACCTCACATGATTAATTTTTACCCCCTTTAAAAGAATATCAGGATTTTTTTTATTTAAACAGTGAACTGAATTTAACAGTCTTATAAACTTTTCTTACAATTTTAATTACCTACGTCGCTTTTCAGCAGGCAATAAATAAAAAGGTTTATTAAGATGCAAGATTTTTAAAATAAAACCAGTATATGTAACTCGGCAAGATTTCTTTGCAATCAGCAAAAAGTGTAAAAATTTTTGTCCATAATATTGAATCTACTTTAAAAATTCAAATACTGTTCGAAGGATATTGGTTGGGAATCGCGTTGATTAGTTTTTTGTATAACGATAGATTTTGTGATCTTAAATAAAATACTGTTAACTTCGTTTATCTGTATTAACACACCTCATCTCAAATTACTCGTTTATTGTCTTTATTTACACTCTCTACAATATTCATATACCTACAATATTCGTAGGCATGTATAACGAAAATATTATAGCCCTATGAATTATAAAAATTAATCAATTTTAGAATTACACCGCACGCTTAAGATATTCTAATCAGAATCTATGTCAAAGCTGTGTACGTTATTTAGTGATTTGTAGGTAGCTACTGATTACAGTTTACGTTGACACAATTGATGCAATTACTGTTATTATAAGTACGGTTCAAAGATATTAATTGAAAATTGTTTACCAGTTGAACATTTCACCCAAACAGCTAATTCTAATTTATGTTGATTAAGTCGATTATTTACACATATCGGGAAGTTCATGCAATTTATCTTAAGGCAAAATTGTACTTACAACTAGTTCATTTTATGCCCATATGTATTTAGAGAAAATTTTAATTATTTGAATCTATGTTCCATGTTTTTTGCTTTATTTTCATCTTATCAAGTGCTTTAAATAAATGTACTAGAAAACTAAAAATTATGTTTTTTTTATTATTAAAGTTTTCATAAATTCTGGTTTGTTCTGTAGTTAATATAAATTACATGTATTATTCGACAGCAAATAACTTTATACTATTTTACTCTTAAATAAAATGCAAGTAAATGCAGCCATAAATATTTTATTACAAATCGTGAATATAAAAAATGTTAATATGCTTTAGCACCATAGATAAGAAAGCATATATATATATATATATATATGTATATATATATGTTTAGAACATTAAAATTTAAATATCGCAATAACTAAATGTGTTCAAATTAATTTAAATTACTTCCTGTGTAAAATTTAAACATATTGCTAATTATTTATACGTTTTAGCTTCGAGTGCAGTCCTAAATAAACATAAGTTTTCGCCAAATATTTCGTAATTTGATTAATATATTCAAAATATAGTTAAATCTTGACCGCCAATTTGGATCATATAATGATATTCAAATAAATACGTATGAACTTGTTATACTGTGTCCATGTTCGACATATTCAAATTTTTAGCATAATATGAATTTTGAATATTCGCATAAAATATTACGATGTGTTATGCTAAATCAGAAAACCCGACCTAGACACGCTAAAACTTATTTTCATGTTCCACTTAGCAAGAAATGAAAAATATTAAATTCATAAATAACGTATATGGTAGATTCATGTTTTCGTGTATGATTTTATTTGCTAATCGAATCATTGTCAGATTTTCCATTCAAATGTTCTTATTGACGATGGAATTACAAAGCGATATTTGAAATTTGCGTTTTAACTTCAATGACGGGAAATAGAAGAATAAACATCCTTCTTTACGATCCATCAATATCATACGCATGTTTATCAATTAATACAAATGCATTTGTTGTTGAGAATTGTTATAACAAATTCTTGGCAATAATCAGAAGATAGATTGAATAGACATGATTATACTAATGACTTATTATGAATTCTGCGCAAAATAATTTATCAAATGTATGCATGTTTTTATAATGTACTTTCAGAATAATTAACCCTTTCTTTCTACTCGGATGCTGCCGCTATGGCGACGAAATACGTATTAATTTAGCAATTCTCGAGCAAAAGGGTTAAATATTTAACGCAGTAAAAGAAAATGGTTTTATTTTTACTCGTTTGATCATTTATCTAATCAAAACATTAAAATAAATAAGTAAATGAAGAAAAATACTAGTACTGCATGGTATTGTGCCTGAAGACGAATTGCTAGAACTTTCCTTATAGTAATTTAAATTTTACTAAATTGCCATTTTTGGAACTTTTTTTTTTGAATCATTCTGATTGGTTGATTCATGCTCTCGAAATCAGAGACAAAAATTTGTATCCGAACATCATACATACATACATACATGCATACATACTACTCACACATACATATATACACTACACACACTTACATACATCAATCTTTTCTAAGGTATACCAAAATGTTCAAGAGACCTTAAAACATAAAGATATGCAAAGATTTTCATTTTCGATCACTATAACTTACGAGAAATAATAAATCTGAGAATTACATTCAGTTATTCAGCTCTTTTTTAGTTACAAAAAGAAAGATTTTTTTAGTAGTATACTTAAGTTGGGTCATTTTTGATTATTTAATTAGGCAATTTTCAACATTCATTTATTGTAAATAAATTTGTAATTTATTAAATTTGTAAATATTTTTTGTTTACACGGTCAGTTTGGGCAAAAAATCTATTATTGTGCCAAATTTCATCAAAATCCCAGATGAGCAATGCGCGGGTTCTCCTTGTGAGATATGCCAAAATGTTAAGAAACCTTCAAAACGTCGAGAAATGCAAAAAAAAATCATTTTCGATTTTCGGACCATTACTATAACCACCCTAAGGAAAGTTAAAAATCTTATTGTGCTTCAAGGTAAATTGCTTAAATTCGAGAATTCTAAATCACAGGTGCAAAAAATGAAACAAACAAAAGTTCGAACTTCAATCAAATCAAATTCATTAAAAAAATTAATTAGATTTGTATTAGTAGTTTTGTGACAATATACTTTCTATATTTATATAACAATATAATACGTTAAATTTGTAAATTATATTTTTTTGTTTGTCTGAAGCCCTAATTTAAATGGAAAATAAACGTTTTGGATTTTTGATCAAATTACAAATGATTACTTTTCACCACCACTTTTCAATGTGTTGCGGTGACACTAACTCTAGGGATTTGCAACCCTTCTGGACTAGACTCACAATCATAAAAATAAGTAATTGTAAGTGTATTGATTACCGTGACCCAATCAAAGGTTTGTTGACTACGATTGTCTAGAATTATAAGTCCAGTTTAAATGAGGTACGAGTCTCGGAATTCGAGATACCCAGCTGTAAGTCTGTAAATACTTGTATTTCGCACTCTAAAAGTTATCTCAAAATCAACGTATGGTAGAGTGTAGGTTTTGAGACAACTTTTAGGGTGCAAAATATAAGTGTTTACAGACTTAGCTGGGTATCTCGAATTCCGAGGTGAACTTACGATAATGACTGGGCTAGTATTCTGTCTAGCTTGTGTCCCCAACAAAGTAGTTATTTGTAGCCTTGTATCAAAGTATTATTTGTCAATACAAATGACTTTACTTTCAGATATTTTAGTACGTAACTATAATCTAAATTCGGTCTATTTTCCTGTGATCTGTGTCCAATGTTGATGGAGGTATGGAGCGCGTTGACGCGCCGAAAGCGCATTGCTGACGATGCGGAAGGAGAGACAAAATTAGCGCGAGTTCTGGACGTGGTCGACCTCACTGCCCTCGGAGTGGGTTCCACGTTGGGCCTGGGAGTTTATGTCCTGGCCGGTGCAGTCGCCAGAGGCGAGGCTGGTCCTGCTGTAGCCATCTCCTTCTTGGTGGCGGCGATCGCCTCAGCATTTGCTGGTAAGATAATGATTACTAATAACTAAATAATAGTGTATAAAAACGTTATGTTCTATGAACAAACTAGTGGTGCGTGTCATCGTGCCTTAAGGCAAATTGCTGAAACTTTCCGTGCCAAAAATTAAAATTAAAAATAAAGATTTAATTTTCTTTTAGAACCCTGAAAAAATTGATTTTTGAGATTTTTAAAATCATTGAAAAAATTGTTTTTTTTTATATTTTGAAATATTTTGGAAATTTTGAATTATTCTTCGAAGCAATCGCCATACGTTAGCTGCGATTAAACAAATTATTGAAGCGCGTGGACGCTGCGTCGCAATATAACGGATAAACAATGGTATTGAACCCATAGAAAAGAAAACTTTTTTCCTATTATTAAAATTTCTATAAAATATGTGATAATTCCATGTGCATATGTCTAATGTTCATTTTTGTCTGCCAAATGGCATTTTTTTAATTTTTTTATTGGATCTCCGAAACCACTAGAAATGCCTTTTCAAAAATTTCATCAGTTCTTCATTTTGTCAATACAAATAAAATGTTTTCTGAATCATACAAATCCGTTCTCTCAAAAAATCAATTCCATTTTTGGCACATTTTGCCCCGTTTCTTCGAAACGACATGCCTTTGCCAAAAACTAATCAGTACGTCTCTTTATTAATACGAATCGAATGTTTTTTTAATTATCCAAAACGGTTGACCCGTGTTTCCAAAATCATCGACGAAAATTTGTATCCGCACATACATCAATTATGAGGTATGCCAAAATATTCAGAAGAATATAAAAAAATACTAATATTATTTACGAATTACTATAATTTACCCTACGCGAAGTTAATAATAGCAAAATTGATTTGCGTGCTTTTAGTCATATATATGATTAAAAGCTACCAAAATATTTTCTTTGAATATTTCATCCTAAATGGGGGAATATCCCCCATTCTGTTATTCTGGTCTAAAAAATCGATTTTTTTTTCATTTTAAAATTTTATTTTTGCTTACTATTTTTTTATTACTATTTGAGAACATGTGTACAGGAGGATTTTCCAAAATTTCAATTAATTCACGATAATCTTCCTCTGCTTCCTTCCTCCGCGAAATTTCGAACGCGTTTTTCAAACTTTCATTTCAAACTGATTTTTTCGATACGATACCCACGGTTTCTCAACTTCTACTAGACCGATTTGATTAAATTTTTTCCGAAGTCTTCTGTATAGGGGGGCGTGCATTAATCGTGTGATCGATTTAAGCATTTTTGGACCCCCCTTCCCCTTGGTGATACGTTGTAGTATTCAAAATTGGTTACGAGAAGATAATTGTAAAATTGATTTGTTTTTTGAAAATGCTTGTTTTTTTTTAAAAAAAATCGGGTTAAAAATAAATATGTGATTTCTTACTATACCCCTTCCTACCCCACGTGATATTTCGTAATTTTTTGTCAACCCCCCGCCCCCTTTCCTTCACCCTCACGTGATTAATGGTAAAACAAAAATAATTCTTAAAATATTAAAATACGTTTAAAATATTATTGATGATATATTCTGATTATTTATGAAACTATAATAAAATTTCATTAAAATAACTCTAATTAATATTTATTCAATTAAAACAGGTTTATGTTACGCCGAATTTGCTGCTAGAGTTCCTAAGGCTGGATCTGCCTATGTATACAGTTATGTCAGTGTCGGTGAATTTGCAGCCTTTACGATAGGATGGAATCTAATATTAGAATACGTTATTGGTAAGTGAATATTCAAAGTTCTTACTCTATAATATACAATTTTTATGACCTTATTCTATAACCTTATTCTATAACTAAACAAGTTTTATGACCAAAACTATCTAACCAATAACCATTTGGGTTTTAATACACAATTATTATGACTTTGTTTTACAACTGAATAGTTCCTATGACCAGAAATATCTAATAGTCCAGTTATTTAAGCTTAAATTAGGTAATAATCTCAGAATTGGAGACACTCAGCTGTAAGTCTGTAAATACTTGTATATTGACACCCTAAAGTAGTCTCAAAACCTACATATGGCAGGGTGTCAATACCATATGTAGGTTTTGAGACAACTTTAGGATGTCGATATTCAAGTATTTACAGACTTACAACTGGGTATCTCGAATTCCGAGGTGAACTTACTATAATGACTGGACTATAACCAATTGTGTGGTTTGCGCTTTTGTTCTCGATGAGTTTGCAATCTGTATTTTAATTTATAAAACATGTTTTTTTTTTTTAAATAAGTCAGCTTAAAATAATTTTATACAGGAACATCATCTGTAGCTCGAGGTATGAGTAATTACATAGATGCTCTAACTGGGTATCAGATGCGTTCATTTCTCGTAATGATGCAATGCCCTAGACATCGATTTCCTTGGAGATTACCCTGATTTCTTTGCTTGCATTGTGGTAATACTATTAGCAGGTATTTGAAATATAATTTACTAACAATATGGTATTTAAATGTTTACCTACTATTGATGACTATATTTGTTCTTGCAGCTCTTCTATCAGTAGGAGTTAAGGAATCAACAATTCTAAACAATATTTTTACGGCGGTAAATCTGGTAACAGTAGCGGTAGTATTGGTAGCAGGATCTATCAAAGGTATGTAAAATAATATATTTTTCTCATATTATATAAACGTCATATCATTAAGCAGTTAACTGCGATTGTGGTGACCATTTTCTATTTAAATTGAATGTTTTTGAGGCTACAACTGTATTAAATCTGTAGTCTTCAAGTTGCATTTCATCTTAAAGCAAGTTGCATGAACTTTTAGAAATGCAGAAATAATATACTTACCTAAAATAATTCTAATTTATCCTTTAGCTGATCCTGCAAATTGGCGCATATCGAAAGAAGACATACCAGCTAATGTGACAAATGGTGGTGAAGGCGGTTTTATGCCTTTTGGTTTTGCTGGAGTCATGGCCGGAGCAGCTAAATGTTTTTACGGATTTGTTGGATTTGACTGTGTTGCTACAACAGGTAAATTAAAAAATATATTGATTACCAATGATGTGACAGTTGTGTGTTTCAACGATAATTTAGTTTAGCACATCATCTGACATTGACACATATTTTTTTCTGTTATTCTCAAGTAATTTTTATCTGATCAAATGGTAATGAGGATTTATGCTATTATGCAAATAATATGCTTTTACTTAATATGCATAAATAGATATTTCTTATAGCATTCATAAGATTTATTTTAAAAATTGCACCTAATAGTATTTTTTAAACGTCGATGGTCTGTAATATTTAATTAAGCAAATAGTTTCTGGTAAAAATATAAACTTCTCCTTCGGAAAGCTAATGAATTTTATTATTAGTTTGATATAAAAAATGTTTTACTTGTGTTATATATTAAAGTTTTAATATAATACAATTAATTTCATTTTAAAGATAAAAATTAAAATAATATAACATTTATATAAAAAT